GTCCTTGTTGTATCTATAATAGAATGGGCCACAAAACCTATTCTAACTATGAGGGCCCCTACAGCTGTATTCCACCCGTCCATACCACTGAACTGCCTCTGGAAGCTGACCTCTCATGCTAAGCATTCTTGCCATGGGACGATAATCCCAACAATACCAACAGTTAAAACTCATGAGCATAGCAATGATGCATCTGCAGAGTGGTAGATGGATACTTCCGACTGACAACAGAGTAGCAGTGGCAAACAGGAAAATGTCGTACTCGCTGTACCGTATCGAGCCATTCCTACAGCAGGGGTCTGATAGTGGACCATCATACTATTTCCATGCAATTGTCGCGATGATGGCCTTCCATAGAACACCGCACTGGTCCACGAGGCTGGCATTGACCCCCAGAAGCATCTCTTCCGCGGATTTGCCAGTGAGTCCGCAGACCGCGACCTGGCCTCAGAGCACATTGCTACTCACATCAATGCATCGCCAGTAGGACTTTTGCTGTTGTTCACAATTCTGCGAGTATTTGGGTTCATTGTACTAACCATACAGCAACTCAAGCTTGCACTGCTGCACGGCTACTGCTACTCCTCCTGCCCGTTACCCCCCCTGACCCTACTGCTGCTACCAGTGCAGATACTCCTGCTAGTCCTGTTCCTGCTCCTATGCTTACACCTACTCCTATTCCTATTCCACCTCCTACTTCTTCTCGTCTACGCCACGACGTCTACGACTACGACTACGAAACCTACAACCATTACTACCGCCACCAGCACTGCTACTGCTACTGCTACTGCCACTGCCACTGCCACTGCCACTGCGACTGCTACTGCTACGGCTACGGCTGCCGGTACCGCTACTGCTACTGCCACGACGACGATGCCGACGACTACGACGACGACTACTACTACGACGACGACTACTACTACTGCTTCTTCTTCTGCTGCTACTACGACGACGAAAACTAGAAGCTACTGAGTAACTGCTGCCCCTGTCACAACTATTGCATAAATCAACAGTACCATTACCGTTGCCCTGACCATGACTCAAGACCATGAGCACGACCGTAAGATTACCGTTATCATCACCATTACCATCACCGATACAATTACCGTTACTAATGCCAGTAGCACTCTCTACACTATGACTACGACGCCCATACGACTGCGGTTACGGCTCGGGCTACGACTACTACTACGACAGCTGCTACCACGACAACGACGACTGCTGCTGCTGCTCTTACTTGTAATCGATGTACTACTACTAAAAGAATTCATACCGCCACCACCACCACCACCACCACCCACCACCACTACTATCACCATCGCCACCTCCACGACTCGCACAACCACTATGAACCAACCACAATGGCACTGATACTAACGCCACTATCAATATCATATTTAATGTCATCTGTACAATTGGACTGGCAGGAATGCCATATCGTCGATGAAAGAGCCTTTACCAGTCTATCATAATGGCAGCTGTTCTTTTCGATGAAAGCTGTTTTTTCAAATTCAAAACATAACCATGCCATAACCGTTTTTGTAATGGTTGTTTTTCTAAACGCATGGCCATTCATCACTCATTCATCACCCATCAATACCATTGCTTGCTTCTACAATCGTCCCTTTGGCGTCTTAACTAGCAATGCTCGCCCTACTCTTGTTTTTAGCACGGCTTCCGAATGTGCGGCAAGGAGCATGTCACGCCATATGCTGCCATTTCGTTCGCCAGAGCTCGTCCATATGGCTGGAACCATTGTCCGCCAGAGTAGAAGCCTGAAACATTGGTCTCGTACATGCATCCGACGGGACTTAGCCATCCAGGCAACTGTCTCGTCTTTCGTGTTTCGGATCTGCTCAGTAGCTCTCCCGGTGCTGATCACAATGCAAGAATACTGCAACAGCTGAGGCCCGAAACCAACACACGTCCTACTGCTGTCAACGACCTTTCATCGGCAAAGCAGGATCTCCAACCTGCGGTTAGACTGTCGCCGTAGCAAAGCACGCGATGTGTCACGGGGCCACTTCCGGCAGTGAAGACCAGCGGCGCCCTCGGCAACAAGCAATCCAAGTCTGCGCTCCTCTGGGCCTGTTTACTGTAGGCTTCAGAATCCAGGTCGCGGGGAGGATGCCGTCTGCATGCCGGCTGGATGCGTCGGTAGGACCGTAAGGAGAGATGAAAGCAGTCGGAGTTGAGCAGAGCTTTGTCACGACTCGCAGGAGTCTTTCCCGAGCCGTGTCTCGAACAGTGTCAATCTGGAGTTCCGAATCCTACCTGGCATGAAAGGTGTGTCCAGATGCGAGGCTCTGTTCAACTCCGACCCTACCTGGTGACCAGCAACGACTTGAGGGCAGCAACACATTGAGAGAAATCCCTTCGCTGCTCAATGAAGGCTTCGTCACATATCAACCACACCGCATCACCCAGCAAATGATGTGCACGTTTGAGTGTCCCCCCCGCTGCGGAAATGCTGGATTTTCAGCTTCACGAGTTTCCCCGGCTGTCTGAGCTTCAACTGATGATCATGGCATCGCCATGCATCCCTCCCAGCACTGCCCTTGCCTTCGAGGCCACACTTGGCATCCAGTACGTCACCACATCACTACCGCAATGTCTGATGTGACATGCAGAGTGCGAGTTTGCTGACCGACTTCTAGATTCTAGACATTCTAGACTAAGCCGAAGGAAGGGCAGGCCACCAAGAGTCCTTCCTAGCACACGAAACCGATGTCCGATTTATTTCCTCTCTTCATGGAGGCACTGTACGGGTGACACTGTCCAAGAGTTCAGTACCTGGCACTCAGCAGAGGCCTCACCGTGCTTCACGCCTGGCTGCAGCCACGCACGCCGCGCAACCCTCTTCGGCCTGTTCCCGGCTGAACTATGTGCAGGAAGCATTTGGTGCACTGAAGAAAGCTAGGTCAGAGCTAGCTAGAAGGACCACAACTCAGAACTGCCCCCACAGTTGCTCGGCACATGCTGCGTAGCCTTGCATCTCACACATTCTCTCATTCCCTTTTCGTGCACTCTCGAGGCATCTCCAGGCCCAAGGTTTCATATCTGCCAAGTCGGAATCTACCGGGTGCTCGCGTAGTTGGCAAGCCCCGAAAGTGGGATGAAAGCCTTGAAATGCTTTACTTCAGCCGAACTTCCCTGCGAGACTGGCCATGCTTGCAGTCACGTTCACCATAAGTTGCCCTAAACCCGAAACCTCGCGAAGCTCGGCCCTTCATCTGCGACAAAACGCACTCGAATTGCCTGCAGCACAAGATATCTCGGCTTCAAGATGTGCGCTCTGTCCACTTCTGCCGAGAAGAGGCCAATCTCGTGCCACAAGCGTTGTGAAAATCGATACCGCTGTCCACGCCCACACACAGATCTTCAATCTCCCTCCCCCAGTCTGCTTCGGAGATCCCTGCTACAATTTTGCAACAACCCCAAACCCTAAACCCTAAACCCCTAAACGAAAGCCAATTGGGCAAGGCCAGCAGTTGAGTCTCTGCCAAAGGACGGCACACCAAGTTGCCGACCCAGGATTACAACCCTCATAGAAAAGCTAGCGTAGTCTAGGTACGACGGAGTCAAGCATAGCTTCCTGTGCCAGATCAGCAGCAGCCTTCTTAATTCGGTAGACCCTAAGCCCTATTCAAACAGAAAACCTCGTAAGCCCCCCCATGCAGACTCTTGCTTCAAGCGCCGCTGACTGCTTCTGGTTGTTACAGGATGCTCGATGACCCTTACATCCGCATAGCTGATGACACCCAGCCCGGCAGCCTCAGCTTGGCGTTGCCAGATAAGCGACCATGATAAGAAGAAGAGGAAGAGGAGTGGTACTACGAAGAGTAATAATAATCATACTGGATCATAGTCATAGTATACCAGTAACTGGGATACCTGTGGGCTTCTGTGTCAGCTACCAGCTCAGTAAGTCTCGAAAACGGAAGCAAACTGTGGTTATTTCGACATGGGGGAAATCCTTGCAGCCAAGGTGCCCATCTGGGGAAAGTTGATGGCTCAGAAGGTGGACCGCAGCCCCCACAGAACCCCCTGGCATGTTCAAGCAAGCTCTGACCACAGCATCACTCACTTACACACGACGAATCGCGTTGAGAGATTCGTGGTATGTGTACAATGTGCGAACCGAAACAAGCTGCATCAGGATACTGATGCATCATTAGCATGTTGAAGCTTCATGCCTGCAGTGTCTCCACATGTGGTGGCATCCCATTCGCAAACAGGCCTTCTCTTCTTGAGGACCTCTGGACCGGTGAAAGCCAAGTTGAATGATTGTCGCGGTCATGATCATGAGGGTACTTGTGCTCAAGTACCAGATGATGGTGATGGTGAGTAGTGATGGCAACAAAGCCGATGATGAAGCGTAGAACCTTGCACGTGATCCGAAGCCAATCACAGACACTCACCCTGTCTGGCCTCCCGGTACCGCCAGCGCTGCTGCAAAGCCAGGAACCCGAGGCAGGCCCGGGGAATTGCGATGTAGATGGGAATTTGGAAGCTGCTCAGTTCTAGTCTGTTTGCAACAGAGTTTCCTTCTGTAGCCACGAGACTTGCCGACGTAGGGTTTTGAAATCTACAGGGATTAATGATATGGCCTGCCTCCGTCCTGGCGACAATAAAAGCTCAACCCTCTCATATGCCCAGCGCAAAGCACAAGTGCTTTCACCAAGGCCTCAGAGCAAGACATGTTCAGCTTTTTCAGACTAAGGCTTAGCACAAGCAGTTGGCAGCAGGGAGCAGCTGGGGCGACAGCTGAAAGGAATCCGGAGCAATAGTCATCCGTCAGAGCCTTGACAGCCAGGAAACGTCCTCCTAGTCTCATGTGTCTAAAGAACTGCTGGCTCATGCACTGGGAGCCGCCTTGCAGAAGAGCTAAGACTTTAAAACATCGTCTCAAGCAGAGTGAACCCCACATCGCTAATAACCCTAAACCCTAAACCCTAAACCCTAAACCCTAAACCCTAAACCGTCCGAGGCCTGGGCTGTTATTCGCCATATGCATTTGCTTGAATACGTAAACCTGTGCCTCGGTCCAGGGTGCTGAGAAAAGCTGCCTTTCGCAAACATGGCAGTGCTTGCCACGGTAGGTAGCAGCAGGTTTAGTAGCCGCAGATCGAAGTAGTGGTAGTTGTCCTACTAGGAGGAGGAGGAGGAGAAGGGAGGAGGAGGAGGAGTGGCGCGGTGGTAGTCGTCGGAGGCACCAAGAGGCGTGGTATCGTCACTGTCGGTGATTACTATCGCATTCTGCATGGAGGACGTGAAGACACCAGCCAAAACCAACTGAACATGACAAACACAATCCCAGTGGCCTAGTGCTCGCACACTGACGGAAGCCGCGTGAGACGAGACGCGCGAAGGACATCAGGAAACCAACTTCTTCTCTGCTACCGCATCAGCAACGAAGAAATTCCTGACTCCGTCACCCGAAAAAGAGCTTCCCTAACCCCGAAGCCCGCGAAACCCTAACCACAAACTTGAACTCCAAACTCTAAAAGCTTGCTAACCGCCCCAAAGAGAGCCTGCAATCCCTCTAAACCCCAACCCTGAACCCTAAACCCGTAACCCTAAACCCTAGACCGTGTGCACCCTAGACCCGAAACCCTGTATACCCTAGACCCTAAACCCTATATACCCCCTAGACCCTAAACCCTAAACCCCTAAACCCTATACCCTAAACCCTGCATCCCTCCCTTCCGGGCCGAGTGGCTCATATCAGAGCCTTCCAGTGCGGAGGTCCTGGGTCTGGTCCAGAACTTGGAGTTTTTGGGTGTTTCGGGCTTAGGATTGGGGTTTAGGGTTTAGGGGTTTAGGGTTTAGGGGTTTCGGGCTTAGGATTGGGTTTCGGGTTTAAGGGTTTCGGGCTTAGGATTGGGGTTTAGGGTTTAGGGGTTTAGGGTTTAGGGGTTTAGGGCTTAGGATTGGGGTTTAGGGTTTAAGGTTTTTGGGTTTGGGGTTTAGGGTTTCGGGCTCAGGGTTTAGGGTTGAGGGTTTTAGGGTTTAGGGCTTAGGTTTAGGGGTTTGTGCGAACAGTCACTGCGGAGGATCCCGGCGAGATGCACGCAAGGATCCCTACAACGGACTGTGGGTTTAGTGGTTTAGGGTTCAAGGCCGTTTAGGGTTTAGGGCTCAGTATTTGGGTATGTAGGTTTAGGGCTCAGGATTTGGGGATTGGGGTTAAGGGTTTAAGTCCATACTTCGGGGCCAAGGGTTTAGGTCTAAGTCTGTTGAACTCTACGATTCCAACTTGAGGCGCAGAGCAGTCCAACCTTTAACCTCCCCCAACTTTTCCAACAGTCATGGTGCGTCAGATAGTAGCTTTCAGCGTCTTAGACCACAGGACTTTGTAGTAGCTCTTTCAGTACCTCTTGCCGTAGCCCTTATTGTCGACTTATGGTAACCCGGTAACCCTGACCGGGTGCCGAGCGACTTGCACTCCCGCCCCTTCTCGGATCGGAGGGTGGAGGAGATGCGGAGGCCTCGGAAAGCTTTCCTATTGTGGCAGTGGGGGGGGGGGGGGGGAAAACTGCCGCGCAGATGGAACTCCTCATTAAAATCCTCTTCCTGCTACTACGACGACGACTGTTGCTGCTGCTACTGCTACTACGACGACCAAAAACACCACCAGCACCACCACCATCACCACGACCACCACTACCACTTCTACTCCTACTCCAAACACTACTGCTGCCGCTGCTGCCGCTTTTGCTGCTGCTGCTGCTGCGGCTCCTGCCTCTGAAGCAGCCACCACCACGACCACTGCTGTCAACATCACGACGCATACTACGATGATGATAGTGAGGATTACAGGTGACTCAGACCACATAATCAGAGCGACAGCAGTGAGGCAATAAGGATGCTGATGGTGCTACGAAACAAAGTGAGGATCACTAGCAAATGTATATGTGGAAGTGCTTGCCATGACGGCTCTTGGGCCCTGGCCGATCTGGACGCTCTGGCGCACGGTGCTGGGGTCAAAGGCAGGTGCGGCAACCTGGCGGCCGAGAGGGGCTTCGAATTCAGCTAAGTTGTCATACGAAGCGCTGAAAAACGCATGTTGATCCCAGCACGGTATCGCTAGAATTGAAATGTGGGCTTGGACATTGACTAATTCAGTGCGACGCTGCACTCAGACTGGGCAAACACTCGGTCTGCCTGTGACACCACGCTACCAGTAGGCTCCCGACAGGGCTTGGAGCCACACGCTTTTGCAAGCGCTTGCCGATGGAGCTTCGGGCCTCCCCATAACAGCAGTGGCAGCTTCTGGTCGAGGGCTTGAAAATTCCCCTAAAGCTCCCCCGGACCAGCCCTATTCACCGACCAGGAACAACATTATACAGCGAAGATAGACATCTTGTTGGGTGTATGTTCCCGCTGACTCTCTACATTTGGCTCGATAAATGAATACCCTCGGCAGGCATCTCATGAATCGGTATCTAAGTAGAGTCTACTCTATCCACGCAGGTCTTCTCTTTCCGTTTTGGAAGCCACTGCCCACTCTGCTCCTTTGCTTGCCTCGAGTCTTGAAGCAAAAGACAGGTATAGCAGGGACTTGTCAGTGCCATGAACCCTCAAGTGATGAGACTAGATTCTGCCTGCCATCAAGATTCACATGGCAAGTTCTCCTGCAGGACTTGACTTTATCAGAACAGAAACGGTCACGGGCCTTGCTGGCAGAGGCAGCGGCCTTAGATGCAGACAAAGTGGACGGGGCGAAGTCAACAAGAGCTTTTTCAATCTCCTTCGGAGGAGGACGACCCAAGAATGATGACATCTAGGGGGAGCATCCTCCTACTTTAACAGCTATCATAAGGCGGGATAAGAAATATGGGGGCCTTCATAATTTTCATACGGTTCTGGGGGCCATTATGCTAGAGGCTATAACTACAATAAGGAACCCCCGAAATACCTAATTAAGGCCCCTGTACGATATTACCCTTATAGTGACCCTTACAGACCCCTTTAAAGGAACCCCTCTAGTAGCCCCTATTTCACAAGCTTACAACTCGCCAACACCACTTCGAAGACCGAGGCGGATGCACGCCGGGCGGATCTGGCGGCACGGGGTCGGCTCGCACCTCGTCGGGTTTAGGGGTTTAGGGTTTAGGGTTCGGGGCTTGGGGGCCTAGCAGCAACACACCAACTCTAGAAGTGCGAAATAGTCCGCGATGAACGCGGCTTCTGAGGCCGAGACGACGTGAGCCACCAGCCAAGCGGGCACGTCCGGCGCGCACACGCGGCGCAGCCTCAGTTCGAAAGTTCGTGGCTTCGAAGTGCAATTCTGTGGACCACTTCCAGGGTTTCGCGTCAAAGACCTTGAATCAAGTCTGCTACCGAGTGTTTGTCGAATAAGGGGAGGCTAAGTCGTGGGAGCCTCTTTGTTCGAGAGCCCAGAATCATGTCCCATGGCACGTAGCATTGACATAGCATTGGGTCTGCCAGTGTCTGCTCTGACTTCAAGCTTCTCATGTAACATAATATATACGATAATACAATACTATATAGCATAATGTAATATGTAGACGACCGCGCTGCGAAGCTCCTGCGTTGCCCTGCTTGGGTGCCGGTTGATGTCCCTATCAAGGCTCCACACCCTCTAGGACCTCTGAACCCACCTTAGCGCAATGAACGCAACATCAGTAATCGAGAGGAGGAGCTTGGGTACGGCCCCCATGCAGTAACAGTCTATAATAGTGCTACTATTAAGGGCCTTATATAATATATGAATATTATCCAACTGTTACCCAAGGAGGAGCCACTCTTAAGTTCATTCCAATATCAAGTGCAATGCTCAAAATCTCTGAGTGGAAAACGACTGACGGGGTGGCCGTGATCACGTCAGGGGTAGCAGGCGCCTGATAGCCACCCAGAGCCTACACTCTGACGATTGTGCTGGTGCCGAAGACTTCAAACTTGAGCTGTAATAATGCAGGGATTTGGGCCTGGGGGCCCATTATACTACAATTATAATAAGGACCCCCAAAAATAGTATTGGTAGTTATTTAGGCCCCCTATTACTATAGTAGCCTCAGTAGGCGTCGACTCCATGACGATGTCCATGGCCGGGGCAGCGATCACCTCCTCGGTCACAGCAGTCTTTCTCTGAGTTGTGGTTTTGGGGTTTGGGGCGCTGAGGTTTTAGGGTTTAGGGTTCAGGAGAGGTTTAGGGTTTTAGGGTTTAGGGTTTTAGGGTTTAGGGTTTTAGGGTTTAGGGTTTGGGGTTTAGGGGTTTAGGGGTTAAGGCATCTCAACCATATGCCCGGCGACACACCATGAGGGACGTGACTACCTCAACTGCTGCTTACGTCAAGCTGTACCTTTCCTAGAGCTGGAGGTCCAAACCCAGCAACAAGGATACCTTCTCGGGACTCCCTAGAGCTTTACCAAGCAAAAGATACAGGAGTACTACATCAGACGAATCCGAACCCCAAACCCGCACCTTAAACCCAACTATGAAAAGAAGTTGCCTGGGGGTGTGAGGCTTTCTTTCCGAAAATCCTTGCTCCTTGGTGGAATTCTAATAAACACATCAAAAGCAACCCATGCCTATGCCATTCCCACCCCTTCCTTGCATGAGAGCAAAACATACAGCGGCCTCAGGGGCCTCGAAGTCGATCAAAGGGGCCTTCCAGGCAGAACTTGGCGGATTCCTAAACCCTAATCTAGGGGCCTAAATAATTACCAATACTATCTTGGGGTTATTAATATAATTACAGTATACTGGGCCCCCAAGCCCTGGTCGAATTATTCAGGCCCCCTATATAAACCCTGAACCCAAAAGTTTAGGTACTTGGTCGAGGTATTGGGGCGTTGGGTAAAGGGTATAGTATCAAGGGTGAGGGTATGGGGTTTGGGGTATGGGGCTTGGGGCTACTATGTTAATGTACGACTGGCCTCTCACTGTTTATCTTCTCGTGCTACGTTTGCTGGGTTCTTGTTGTTTTCGGGTAGAAGATACCTTTCGCATTTGTAGGAATTAAGCTTCAGGGTTTAGGATTGTGGCTCTGCACATCGAACAACCGTCGGAACCAGCAGCAGGGCTGAACATGATCGTAGAACCCAGGCAACAAAAGCTCCAAGCAGCAACCCGTTGATGCAATCAGATTGCGGTTAGGTGGAGCTACAGCACCCGCAAAAACAGACCGACAGCTTGTTAGACGAGTTCGCTATTCGCTATGATTGCTTTCTGAGTATTGTTGGATACCATCGCAAGAAGGCTCGGGCCTGCTCCAGTTGAACAGGAGCCGCTGGAGCAGATACCGGGGCGGTGGCAGCCTGAGTGGGAGGCTATTCTAGGTTCTAAGCTACATACAGTCTCTACTTCCCCTGATTGAACTCAAACCGCCAGTGAAGCAGGCACCGTCAAGGGAACGCCTGATTTGCTCTGGCGGTCAGGTCTCCCCGCGCCTAAATCCGTTCCTTTCCTTCGCGGCTAGATTTATGGATGCCCATTGCCGATTGGGGATTAGTTCGAAGGATGCTGCTTCAGTAACTACACAAAGATGCGAAACAGCCAACATCCGAGGGTCTGCCAACATGCAGCGACTTTTGCCGGCTATGCTACATGTCTCTGGCATCCCTGGCATGTACTGTAGGAACCTGATTAAGAAACCCTGGCCCTAAAACCCAAAACATTAGGATTCATATAGAAAACCTAGCCCAAGGTTTCTTTATCAGGTTCCTACATCACCATTTCAGCTAACTGCGGCTCAGCCCTCGGCCGGCGCGTAGGAGGCCGGAACGAGCACTGCCCTGCACTGGACAGAAGCCTGCAGCCATTTCGTCAAACGGAACGGAACGAGGGTTTAGGGTTTTGGGTTTAGGGTTTTAGGGTTTAGGGTTGAGGGCAGCAGATGGCAGTTCACGTCCCCTTCGCGTGCAGGGCTTGCAGCCGCTGGGGATCCACGCGCGAGGCTTTGGCGTGCTCGTGCGCGAAGCAAAGGCAAGGCCTCGGACGACAATCAGAAAACCGCGATGGCCAGCTGAAATCTGAACTCGCTGAGGAAGAGGCCAGCAAAATTCCTCCCCCACCGGTATGTCAAAGATATCAAAGAGTAAGGAACACCAAAAACCTCCGGGCCCCGAACAGAGCAGCGCAGTGGCAGCGCTGGCGCGGAAAAGAAGATCCGCCTCTGTAGGGTAAAACTATCCCATATTTGTGCATGTATGCATGTTATTTGTAGGTTATACAGATAAATAGAAGCATATATGTACATGTATGCAATGCCTGATTGATTGAAACAGGGGAATTGCAGTCGCGCTGCCGACCACTTACCGATCGTTTGCCGTAGCTCAGTCGCAAGCACATGTCCGGAAGATGAAGCTGTAGCGGCTGACAACTGAAATCCAAGCCCTTAAACCTTATCCCCAAAACACAACACCCCCGAAACGTATTTAACCTGAACCTTTAAGCCCTGAAACCTCACATTGTAAAACCTGCAACCCTTAACCCGTTAAACCTGTTTTGCAAGCTCGACAGCTTCAGGCACTTGCCTGTCCGTTCGTAGATGTCCTGGCTGTCACGCTTACGGACTTGGGCAAGGTCTTCTGTGCGCAAGATTAAACATCGCTTGTTGTAATGATTAAAGCCCCTATAATATGATAGTACCATAAAGTACCCTTATAGATCCCTTATAGTAGCCCTTATAGCCCCCTTTACAGGACCCCGACTCTAACTATTAAGGCTACGGCCACGGAGCTTCCCAGTACAGGAGCGGCCCTGTGGAAGCACGTCGGGCATCACTTTTCAATTCGGTATCCCCAGCTTTGGAGTGTGGGCTTAGGGTCTAGGGTTTTGGGTTTAAGGCTTAGGGTTAAGGGTTTTGGGTGTAAGGCTTAGGGTTTAGGGTTTTGGGTTTAGGGTTCAGGGCTTAGGGCTTAAGGTTTAGGGTTTAAGGTTTAGGGTTTTGGAGTGTGGGCTTTGTGAGGACACCTGTTTTGGGAGTCTTTTGAAATAAAAGCTTTGGCAAAGAGGGTAAATGCCTGAGCACATTTAAGACACCCTGCCCCCCCCTCCCCCCCTCCCGCCACTGCACAGCTCTCCGGCTCCCTCAATGCATCGCAAGCTGTCGGCAAGCAGGGCCAACGTAAAACCCCGAAATCTCGCAGGCAGCTTCTTCGTAGTCCTCATGTTCATCGAAGTGGAGCGGCTGGCAATCCTTTCTTGGCAAAGGTTAACAAGGCAACTCGCTAGCTGTAGCTAAATCGTGGTACTACTTAGTGCTCAACCCATCCAAGCCCTGGAGAAGCGGCTCTAGAGGAAGCTCGGTCTGACACCATTTTAACTACAACAATGAGAACCACTATAACAACAGGAAGGAGACTAGGGCTGAAATAATCATAAGAATTACAGACAGAAATAATGCAAGAAATAAGAATAATGACAACAACACTTAGAATAACAGCAATACTAAGGCCTGCAGGTATCCTACAGCTGACAGACTTGGGAACGCACGTCGACTGCCCCAGCTGAACGGAGTGCAGAGGTGGCGCAGCCTTGAGTGGCTATGCCCACCACTAGATCCACATGTTTCGGGCTGTAATCGCGTCGTCAGCAGGTCTTACAATCGCAATCGGGTGTCGAACCTTCTTCACTAAGAAGGCTTCGCGACGTATCTGTTCGGAGGGCAGAACGACAGAAAGCTGACTTCAGAATGCTATGCGCTCCACCGTCACGAAGGCTTCGCTCGCTGTGGCCACCAAAACGATGGCAGCAGCCGCTGCGGCGATCCAGACCTGCAGAACTTCGGGTAGAGGGGGCCAAGGGCAGGATTTTGAGTTCAGAGGGCGCTGCTGCTCCTGCTGCTGCAGCCCCTCCTGCTCCTGATCCTAATCTTGCTGCTGCTACTGCTGCTGCGACTTCTACTATTCTGATTACTACTGCTACTGCTGCTGCTACTTCTACTTACACTACTTCTTAGATGTTCATCACTATTTCCACAATTGCAACAAGGCTGACTTTTCAAGGTTTGCATTTACTGTCACGGTTCCCATGACTCGTGCATTTATGACTTATGAGTGCTATTACCAGTTTTGCTATTGATCTCACCATATCCTCATTACAAGTGCCGGTTCATTGTTCCGCAACGTACATATTCTCACGACCATGCCTTGATTCTACTTTTGAGTACTCTTATTAGAACTGAGACATTGATGCCAATGCAGCAACATGGAAAGCAACAGAGCGGATGAGCCTAAAAGCCATTGTGAAAACTCATGCATCTCGCCCCTCGACCTGCCCGCGATTCGGAGATGTCGTTCGAGATCCACGTCCGGAAACTGTCATCGTGCTCGCAGCGCCTGACAGTCTACTGTTCCCTGCCAACTTCAATCTTTGGAAAGATGGCGAACGCAAGCCTGGCTCACAGAAGGCGGATGTCAGGCAGGAGCAATGCTATGGGGTACCTCGCTTTGACATTTGAGCCCAGACGGCCAGCAGGAACAGCATGAAGATGCCGTTGGTCGATAGACTATCGTAGACATGTCTGGAACCCGGGATGTTGCATGACATCAACCATGCAGCGTCATGACATCAAACACGCAGGCATCTCGGCTTCTTCGTAGCCGTACGGGTTGTTGCTCTGCCAGTTCCATGCACTTTCGCACATCTCCTGCCAAGGATGCAGTCTTTTCCTGCAAAAGCACATAACAGCATAAGAGCAGACGACCGGCTGCAAGAAAGCTTCTGTAATCTTCTGTGTCGCGATCATTCAAAACCAGCTTAGGTGCTTTCGGCCTTCCCTCATTCCAAAACTTCCGGGTACGGGTCCTTGAGCCCACGCTTGGTCTCCCAGCCAAAGTCGGCTTTCGCCTGTGGTGAGGAAGGCACGCAATCTCAGATTATTACAATTTAACATTATATAAAATAATCCAAAGTTTTGTCTGATAGTAGATCATAATACAATATACTACAGAATACCGCAAAAACTAAAACAAATCAAAACATAATACAGCCGCCCAAAACCCTAGACCCCAACAAACAAGATCCGGCCGTTCCAAGCCCCTGGCGTGCTTCGACGCGTTGGTAACATGTGTGACAGTACACTATGTCGTAGTAGAATATAGTATACTTCTCAGTATACTAAACTGATATACCGTATTATAGTGTAACATATAAAAACTGGGTGCATGTCTCGCCTTGGACGCGTTCGCAACCACCTTCCCCAAATCTCCAGCTCTTCGATCCACGACCTGCTGCACAAGAGCCGGGGCATTAGGAAACAAAGATGATGCTACAACTGACTTGTATATGTTATGTTAAACGGTACAATCTTATAATATGCTATAGTATATTGTATTGTAGTGTGTTGTGTTGCAATATATACGTCTGTCTCATGCTGTACGGTTCTGGACTCCATTACACTGTACTTTATTGTATTTTACTCTAATATGTGGCTTTCTGTTCTATTCTATTATGTCGTGAACTATTTTGCGAAAATATGTTACATTATGCTGTACTGAAGTAGGCTATACTATACTATAAGATTCTGCACTTTATTGAAACATGTTGGATCATATTAACTCGCGACATAATAGGTTATGCTGTATGGCATTAGGTTGCATCATAATCCGTTGTAGATTCTAGCACATTATACTATAGTATAGCATGTTGTACTCTGTGATATTATATTTCAATATTCCAGATGTTGCTATCCTATACTGTACTATGTTGCTGTATATTGCACTGTACTTTGGTAGATTATAGTTCGCTATACAATGCTACAGTAAGAGGATAGATTATGCCAAATTGCTATACTATATGATGTTTATTTAGTATACTACAGTTCAGTATATGTTGCTTAACTTTTCTCAGCTAGACTAAATTGCATGATACTACATTACGCGACATCAGATTGTTTTATGTCAGTGTAGCCGTGCGTCCACGTCCTAGGTAGCTTCATCGCGTTCATACAGTTCAACATGAAGACGGCAGACGCCGATAAGCAGGCGATGTCGGTAGCTTATGGCATGTCAGCAGCGACGAGCAGGTGTAGACCACAAAAGAGCAGGTGTCATAGATTCATGGAGCCCCTCGACCCCACAATGTCAGCACGCCCCTCCGGCCTTGTACGGGATGGACTTGCCAGATGCTGCCTGCAAAAGCCGCCACCGCAACTAAAGGTAACCCACGGAGGCCTGCTTGAGCTCAAGTCCACATCCCCAGCTACCTGTGCACCCTGCCACGAGCACTCAAATTTGGGGAGTTCAAAAAAAAGGGGACCCTAATATAGCATCCCGAATAGTAGGATCCTGATTACAAGGACCTCAAAATAAGGTACCCTAATTTTCGGAAACTCCCCAGTACAGTATCGTCCCGAAAGCTGCCGGACAACCGCACTGAAAGGCTGCGGAACCACTGCGGTGTCGTCGTCGTGCCAGCAGTGCTTGAAGAGCCGGCGGTAGAGTTGCTGCAGCTGTAGCAGAGTGGGAGGCAGTTCGTAGTAGCAGTAGAAGTAGTAGTAGCAGTAGCAGTAGCAGCAGTAGTAGTAGTAGTAGTAGTAGTAGTAGTAGTAATAGTAGCAGTAGCAGTAGCAGTAGCAGTAGTAGTAGTAGTAGTAGTAGTAGTAGTAGTAGTACTAGTAGTAGTAGTAGTAGTAGTAGTCGTCGTAGTAGTCGTAGTAGTCGTAGTAGTCGTAGTAGTCGTAGTAGGAACATCTGCATAGACACAACCGTGGCCATCTCGGGTGAGCCTCGAAGGCCTTCACCATGTCCAAGACCTGAGCTTAGCGAGGTCTGCTTGCGAGATTTTGTGCGGTTCGAAGCCATAGCTGTGGCAGCTACCTGTTTCTGAAACTAGTGGTTCTTCTGCGTCGCGAAATTGAACTAGGCAGACATCGTGGCGCAATTCAAAACTAATGTCGCAGAAGGTTTGCCGTCTTTGGCTTGCGGCACTCGTCAAACTGCGGATAAGACAACAATGATACCGATAGAAATGCTCATGACCGATTTGCCATACGGACCGCGGTGTTTAGCGATGGCAATCGAAACAATAAGAGCAACAGTAGCTGCACATCGTGCATACATACGTATACTTATATATATATATATATATATATATATATATATACATATATATATACATATATCTATATATATATATACATATATATTCTCTTTGTTTATTTATAGGTATATGCGTAGACATGTATACAACTAACTAAGGGTTTTGGGTTAGGCAGTCGCGGAAAACTCCCATTCTTCTGGCTGTCGCTACCCATGTATCGATACCTCTTCTTTTGCACACTTCGGCTGCGAGGCCTAATCCTGCTGTGCTACGGTTGGTGATCTAAATCCTGAATTATCTTGATGACCCTAAACTATGGGAACTATGGTATATTACTTATTATGGGTACTGCAGGATTTATATCATGAACCGTAGGGAGAAGGGCATGGGGCTGAAGCTTCTCATTCTCGTGCGCCCACTGTGGTGGTGATGATGGATACCACTCTAAAGTAGACTCTACTCTACTCTTTCGCACTTCAGCCTACACTGTATTACACTACACTAAATACTAGATGTATATATATATATATATATACACATGTATATATATATATATATATATACACATATACATATACATATATATATATATATATATATATATATATATGTATGTATGTATATTGCTATCTTTTACTTATTGATATGTATATACAGATCATATACTATCCCATTCTGGACCATTCTATACAATACTGCACTATGCTTTCTGCTTGCAAGGTGTCGCCAAGCTTCGAGGCCCCGGCAGAGTATCCATTGCCAGAGCCCAAGTTGTGGATGATGCAGCCACCGTCCATGGTCATGAGCTGACAGGTTCAGGTTTAGGGCACCCTTGTCCTTTTAGAAATAATAGACAGAGCCCTATACCTATATCCCTTAGTAGGAATTATTTCGGAAGGTCTACTAGCCGGTCTGTTTATTCTTTTGGGGGGAACCATGAAAAAGGACAAGGCTGGTTTAGGGTTTAAGCTTAGGGTTCCAGAGGTCAGGGCGTGCGGCAGGTTCAGATCAGTACTCTGCGCGATTTGCAACATCTAGCTGCTGCTCTTGTGGTTGCGGTTGCTAGTGTGGAGTCTGGCCTCTTTGAAAGCTGTCCTTGCTATGAGGGTAAGGGCATCGAACAGAGAGGGAGATTTCCTGTGCAAACGTGGCGTGCCAAAACATAAGGGCACGAGCTGCACGCGCACACCGACAAAACTAAGTATGTGTTTAGTCTAAATTTAGTAAGCAATGTCACAACAACAGTTGCTCATCTTAACCACGGCCAGTATAATCAAAACCCGCCTTAACACGCCTTCATAGTAACATTCCTACTCTACCCAACCCGCCTTAATATTCCTGACATCTTTGATCAGAATAGTTAGTACTCGTACTTGTAGTACTAGTAATAGCAATACTTAATCAAGAGTAAGTCTCATTTTCCCACCTTCTCCATCGCGCAGATGTGGCCCTCGGCCAGGTCGTCTACATGGATGTAATCCTGGCAAGAACTCGAACCCCTCCATTTTCCCTGCTTCCCATCTTGTAGCCCCAAGAGAAAACGGACGGCCACCCGCACACCAGTCCCGTCAGGAGTGTCGTAGTCATTCCTGACAGTCGCCATCCGGCCGTTGTTCTGAACTCATGATTCCAAGGTAATAAGAACAACACCAGCAGTGCAGTAGTAGCAGCAATTGTGGTAACAGCAGACGCAACCTGCCTCAAGAAGAACCACGGGATTAACGATAAGCAGCACGAGCAAAGAAATGGAACGTGCCAATAGCAGCGTCACTACAACCCCGAATCGCTGCTACCACCACTACAACCACAAACACCACCACGGCAATGCAACCCACGAACTGAGTCCCCAATGGCTCAAGCTGATGCTTACCGAGGATGGGGCCCGAAGACACTGAGGCATTCCCTGCGACCGACCGCGACCTGGCCAAATTCAGGTTTTGCTCTTTAAAATGTCCGAGCTCATGGGCTTGCTGTACTATGATGCTATCGGGTACATTCGGGCCGCATCTCACCAGAAGATGCACAGGAGTTTGACACTACGGCAGCGAATTCGTCGATGCCTCGGATGCAACCCAAAGGGCCTGCTGGACGAACGGCATGAGGTTGTTGGGTGGTCCGTGCGGGTTCTCGCCTATCCTCGCCGAAGTACGTCGTGCGGATTCCACGTCCCTCAAAGCAGACAAGACACAGCTCAAAAGGCCCCCAAACATGTTGTTACTAGCCCGCACAGCACAGCTGTCCTTCCACTCGGGTGGGCCTGGCAAATCGCAGGTCTCTGAAAAGAAGGTCCACAGTTCTATCGAAGCACTGGTAGGTCAGCGTGAGCAAAAGATGACGGATGCGGCAAGTAACTGAAAGTAAGGCAGTTCAGGCTCAACTCTGGGACTCTTACCTTTGCTTAGTAGGGAATGGAGGAATGGGGTACAATTATAACTCCTATTACTACCATTCTTCCATTCCCTACGAACCAAAGGTAAGGAGTGGAAAGGTTCAGGTTCCCGACCGGGTACCGCTATCTTGGTACATGTAGCATAGCAGTTATCTTCGAGACATATCCGGGGACACGAAGGTCCCTATACTGAGCCTGTCTGCCTAGGTTCACCCTAGGACTGCAACTGCGGCGTGAGCGCTCCCACTGGGTTGAAGTAGCGCAGGATGGAGATCTCAGCAGAGGCTTCAGGTCATCCGCTTCACCCAGATCCATGCAGACATAAATTCTCCAAGCTGCCGGGAAGGTGGGACTTGCCGCGGCGAAGTCCCGAAGAATCTGCCGCCAAGTGAAAGGCAGATCAAGGCAAGGCTCCCGATCAGTGGGTGTAACGCGCTACAAATGAACCTGCTCAATCATGTACTTCGTCCATCCATAGGGATTCGTGCCTGACGGCCGGGACAGAACATCTATGCCGTTGGGATCATAAGCCCATCCTCAGGGTTTCCTAAGCACCGGCAGGCTATCCGAAACAAGAGGGCAACACCGAGTGAGCCTGGCAAAGGGGTCATAAACCATGGCTGAGGCTGGGGCCTCAGACCTTCAGCCCCCCCCCCCTGTTGCAGCTTCGCCCTGTGAGATGCACGCGCTGGGGGCCCACGCAGGGCTACCCATGCACGAACACCCACCCCCGAAAGACGTCTGCGTGGCCGAATCGAAATTTACCTAAAGCCTGAGCACCGAGCCCCTGAGCCCCAATCCCAAAGACCCTGAAATCAAGCGACTTCCAGCCTCGATATCTAAACTTAAACCCCGAAGCCCCCTAGAAACCCCAAAAGACCCTAAGCACCCTAGGAACCTTTAAAATCCTAGCAACCCGAGACCCCAAAACCTCCTCCAACCCTGAGCCCAGCACATCCCAGATCTTTGGTCTCGTCGAGGGGCTCCTCGGAAGGCCTTGGCCAAGTAATAGTAGTAATAGTAGTAATAGTAGTAATAGTAGTAATAGTAGTAATAGTAGTAATAGTAGTAATAGTAGTAATAGTAGTAATAGTAGTAATAGTAGTCATAGTAGTCATAGTAGTCATAGTAGTCATAGTAGTAATAGTAGTAATAGTAAGTAACACACTCCCTTAAAGGAGTTCTTAAAGGGGGCTCCTTTAAGGGCTCCTTTAAGGACTGACTCCTTTAAGGGCTCGTTTCAGGGTCCCTTATGGGTCCAGGGTTTAGGCTTAGTGAACCAAAAAAGCCCCTCTCCTTGGAGGTTTCCGGGCTGAGGCTCGAGGGTTGAGGGCATAGGGCATCGGTCATCAGCACCAAGTCTTGGGAGAATATCAAACTCAATTAACTTCTGTGGCTTCTACATCCTGCTCTGGTTGCATAATAGGAATCCAAAGCTAAGGTCTACTTTGCCGGTGTATTTGAGGGTTTTAAGTCCTGCCCACTCATAAGTACCCATCCTTCAAGGAACCCCTTGGTTTCAGGGGCCCGGGCCAGCAAAATAAACACAAAAAAACAAAGCCCCCCCCCCCTGTGCAGGACTGCCTGTAAACCGTCGCAGAAGACGAGAAGACCAATCGCCTGCGCAGGCGGTGCCAGAAGAAACGGCCACTTCTTCTGTTGATGCAGTCTATTTCAGTATGTTCTGGTACACTATGGTATGTTTTACAGCATAGCATCGTTTTCATCGGGTAGACTGTGTCTTGCCTTGAGCTTACTTATTGTTGGGACCTGAACATGTTACAGCACACCGTCGAGTGACGTCTTGCGAGATTGCATTCACTCGACTGCAATTCAATATGCTGCGGTCTGAAAACCATTGGTATGCAATGTAAAGCTAGCTTCTTAACGATTCCATGACTGTTCACAGCCCTAGCCCGCTATACTGTGATTTTTGAACCCTCTCGAAACCTACTACGCTTTAAATCTATGGCTGAAGAGAACTCAAGGTTCCGGGTTGCTTGGGGGTTCAACAGCGTTGGGCTGTGCGGTGGACTTCAAGCACTGCAGAATGGAGTGGCTCAGAGTACCCTTGCAGGTTACCTTTATGCTGCTATATCAGCAAGCTTGCCATTTTGTCATGCGTCGAGTTCCATGATTAGTGGACGTCAGATTTCCGTCTGCTGCCCCAACCGCCCTAAACCCTAACCCCTAAACCCTAAACCCCTAAACCCCATGAAAAACCGCTGGGTTTTCGCCGATCTGATCTCTGCGTAGCTTTCTCTGAGAGGCCCGGCGTCCTGCTCTCCGCTCTACAGGCTGCGAACGGGAGCAGCCGATGCTGCGGAGACATAGCTATAACTATACTCATAAGTACAGCTATAGCTAGATTTTAGCTTGATATACTTGTATCATACTAGACTATGTAACTAAAGCCAGGTTGCCCTGCTCTAAACACTCCCATTATGTCTGTCAAATGGAAGGTTTGATGATGGTCCAGGCTCATCTCTCATATCTCTTTCCAGATAGATACACGCTCGTGTGTACAGTATGTACTGTACATGTGCTTGGCTCTAGAAGTAAAGTGGTCAATGAACATAACTGATCACTCCAGCACATCACCCAGTGCAGCCAGCAGTGATCTCAAGTGCCGCCGTTTCTCCTGCGACGAGATGTACTACATGATGTAACGGGCGAAAGAGCGATCTCACGTGGCTCTCAGAGCATCTACACAACAACGGGAGTACGGCAACCTCATGTAAGGCAGCAGAGTAGCTATGCAGAAACACTGGTTGGCGAACCCCGGAAACTCCTTCTGGTCATCCAGGCTCTTCCAGTCATTTTCCCTGACTGTCGCGACACGCAGCCCCTTCTTTGCGAGGATCCGCCTCCTGCAGATGTCGTGCTTGGGCAAGTGTTTGCTCTGCTACAGGGCAGCTCAACTTGCAGCTGACAGGCTGACAGAGTTGCCATGAAGAATGCGATGGATGCAAACCTCTCCCACTCTGTACAGGACGCTTCAGACAAACGATACACTGATTCATCTTTTTCCTCGCTTGGGACTCGCAGCTGCACAAGCTGTGTCTTGCTGACTCGTTCTCAGAGCTCCGAGCGGTTTGAAGCAACCAGATCTTTGAGATGCAAATAGCCATCGACACCTTTGATCAGCTGAGGCTTCAGCTCCGTCCACCCCGCGGTGCGAGGCAGGAGCTCGGCAGGGCTCGGCCGGGTCTGTGAGTTGGCAACGGCCCGAAAGGCCTGCCAGAGGTAGCAGAGCGTGTCGTGGCGGCGTACACGCTGCGAGAAGTGCTCGAAGCCTCGTCGGGCTATAGCTTCCGCTTCTTCCGGGTTCTCTTCCAGCCATCTCACTTTGGGGACCAGGTCCGAAAGGCCCTGGCTGATCGGAACATAGTGCACCCAGGGAGTGAGCCACTCTAGAATCACCTCTCGATCCGCACTGTCCTGCATGAGAACCAAAGATCCCGTAGCAAGCATCTCGGCCAGCCGCCAAGCTGAAAGCACTGCAGCCACATTTATAAGGTACCGATATCTTGGCATGATCTTCCGCAGCTTCTCATACCGGGCCTCTCCCCCAAGTTGCTTCACCAGCTGCTTTGCCCCGGCTTTGCCGATGGTTCTGTACATTTCCCGATCCTTAGTACCCTAGCGTGGCAACTCCAACCTGCCTGAAGATTCTGAAATATTAAGAACACTAGGATCGGATATTGAAATCTTAAGAGCACGAGCATCGCAGCCCAGCCACGACACTTGTAATGCCGACATCAAAAAGCTCAGGGAAGTCTTTCGCCAACTTCATTAGGCGAACCCTTGGCAGCCTGGGCTCTGGTTAAGGGACTCAGCTTGAATTACCATAACAAGGAAGCCGTATCATTTCCTATAGATCCTTATTATGATAACTTAATAAACTAAATTCCTTAACCCCTGAACCCTTAAAGAGCCCTTAATGGGATCCTAGAATTACGGTAACTGAATTAAACTCCTTAACAAGAATCCAGCAGCGTCCCCATGTCTTCCTGGAGGAAGTTGTCTGGGGCGGAGAGTTGGCCCCTCCAATAAACCTTTGGAATCTTCTTCGCCCAAGGCAGGTGATGATCCCTATGCTGCGGAAAGTCACCGAGGAGATTCTGGGCATGGGCCCTGAGATGGTAGGGATTTGGAAGAGGGATCGTCCAGTGGCCGGCACTTCGAACCCAGTGGAACTGCGGAATGGGGGTCCAGTACACCTTGTCTGCAAAAGGTTGATCCCCGGTGTTGAACAGGAAAACCATATCCGGAAGCTCTTCGGCGACCTCGGCAACCAGGGACAACAGCGCCTCCACGTCCGTCACAGCAGGTTCTTTCAGCAGTGGGGGGCTGTCGCACTCGTTGGAGCAACAGTGATAAAGCACCCGACCCTCTCGGAGCACTCCAATGAAGGCGAGGTCGATCTGGGGAGCCACCATCTCGCAGACCGTGAAGAAGGACTGCCAAGGCATCTGGTGGTCCCACCACCTCATCTCGGGCAACCCGAGCGAAAGAGATCGAGAGAAAGAGAGATAGCTAGATAGATAGATAGATAGATAGATAGATAGACAGGAGAGAGAGAGAGAGAGAGAGAGAGAGAGAGAGAGAGAGAAACAGAAAGAGAGAGGAGAGAGAGAGAGAGAGAGAGAGAGAGAGAGAGAGAGAGAGAGAGAGAGAGAGAGAGAGAGAGACAGAGAGAGAGAGAGAGAGTGCGAACGAAAGGGAGCGAAATATATAGAGAGGGAGAGATAGAAGAGAAATAGGTAGAAGGTTGTTCATATCGTTGCTAACACACCATCAGTATGACGCTTACTTTGATCATCCGACGGCAAGGGGACTGGCACCTGGCCGGCAGGGCGTGGAGCTCCAACACCCTCACGAGAACAACAGCAGATAACACTGGCAGTACGTGCAGGAAGAACAACAACGACGACAACTGGAACGATAGTGGTCTTCATAACAAGAAGAATCCGCATCGTAATCATGACAGTGGTCAACATTTTGATGATCGGCTGTGCGAATGAGGGAGAAACGTCCAGAAAATTTCTCACCCATTCCGGACTTGCGACAGATATCATCACTGCTAGTACTACTGCTCGGAATCAGCATCATCAAGATTAGCTAGTCCCAATCACAAACCAACCTGAGCTAACATGCTAAGGATCACATACAGCACCAATATACTTGCAGCACCACTATGTGTGCTCGCACATCAGTCTTCTGATCGCTGTCTCGGTTACTGCGGCTACTACCGCACAGGGCTCCTGGGAGAACTACTCTTACGCGGAGCCAGCAAATTAGCAAGGTTTGTACCTGGAAAGGGAGGGCGACACCCTAAACCCCAGGCTATGCACCAGAACCACACCCCCACCCACCCCGCAAAAAAGGAAATGAAAAACTATAAAGCCTCAAACCCCAAGATTAAGCCATTTGTTAACATAACTTTGTGCATATTTACATATATATATATACACACAAGTATGTGTGTGTGTACGGATATATGCACATATATGTAAAAACACATACCACATATATACACACACATACATATATATATATATATATAGATACATACACATATACCTATACCTCTCCATATACATCTACATCTACATATCCGCAAACAAAAAAACATGCACGCCCTTCAAACCCTTTGGGGTCAAGAGGCGGCTCGAAGCTCTCCGCCAGCCCGGGCTCCTCTTCGCTGCAACCCAGGCGACAGGCCAAGCCATGGCCGCCTCGGAGCCAAGTTCTGCTTAAAGGGTCATGGGACTTAGTAACTTGGGTTTGGGGTTCCTATAAGGGTACTATAGGGTTTAGGGTAGGGTCCCCTTTAAGGGTGTAGGGTTTAGGGTCTACTTCAAGGGTCATGGGACTTAGTAAGTAGGGTTATAGTTAAGATAGCTATACTTATACTTACTTATAACCCCAATTAAGGTACTTATATCCCTACTTACTAAGTCCCATGATCCTCCAAGTAAGCGTAGGGATTCTTAGGGCTGAAGGTTTTGGAGGGTTGGGGAGGGTTTTGGAGGGTTTTTGGAGGGCTTAGTGGGATGTAGGCTATGTGGGTGTGCTTTTCTTTTTGAAGGGCGATTGAAAACCTGCAGAATTTGGGGTTTACATACTACATTTGTGCTTCCTAAGTAACATGACATATAATGATACTAACACCACAGCACTGAAGTACCTACGATGCGATGATACCAATTCTGCCCAAGGCACCCGCACGGCACTCAGTAAGAGTCTCGGAAAGGTTCTGGTAGGAGGATTGCAGGGCAGCGCCGCCCTGAAGACTTAGCCCCAGGAGCCCCAAACGGAGGCTCGAAGGGGCCATGTGCTCTGTCTTCTGCTGGAGGCAGCTCGCTGCTGCCGGAGAACGCTCTGCGGATGTTCTACTTTCAAGAGTCGCGTAATTACATGTCTGACCGCCTTTCCCACTGCGTCTCATTGAGGAAACTCTCCAGCTTTCTGGAATCGTGAGGATGGCGGCATGTCTGTCAATGTATCGTGACTATGTGCATGCTGGTAGAAGCAGCAGATCGGTATCCGATGTCAACATGTCAACGACCCCATCTATGTGAGATCGTCTCGCTCTTGCAGAGATGGGCAGAAACAGCAACAAAAAACTAGCGGCGCCTGAGTGCCACTGCGCCATCGACAATCGGGCCAGCAGTTTCGTCCTGAAGGGATCGCTAATGGATGGGTTCTGCACCGCCACTGGACAGCTGCACAAGCAGCGATGCCGTGGAAGACGGTCCTGGTCGATAGGACGAATCAGCGACAAGGCACCGTCGATGTCGATGTGGACATACCCTGAGGTAGCCACAAATCTGACATGCTGTGTGGGGCTGACTGTCGACTGGTGCGAAAAACACGACAGCGTAGGTCTCTGAAGATACATGCGAAGCACATGCCGTACAATACTGGCAGTGTTGGACAGCAACCTGCTAACACCCCACAAGTTGAATGTCATGTTCTCAGCCTTTCTGTTGCTCCGCCTCAGATCCTGTAGTCCTGATGAGCTGACAGTCGCCAAACCTGAGAAGTCCGCCGTCCGTAGAGGATCGCTTCCTCAAGGCTGCCACGTCCTCGGCCCAGTGTCCATTAGTTAGCTTTGCAGGCATCTTTGCCGGAATCCGAATCTGTTGCACTTTAACGCACCTTGGGACCTTCTTGGCTTTGCAGAGGGCTTCGAAGCGCAAGTTCCCCACTCGAGAGATGAAGTCTGTGGCATCTCAGCCACTGACCGACAGAAGACCCAAACTGGTGCGGTGGTTGGATTGCACCTGAGTGCCAACTCGATGGTGCAGCAGATGCTGCATTGAAAGCTGATGCCAGTCCGACATTCCTAGCACAGCGCTTGCCACCGTCACTGAGGCTCGCACATGGCCCTCTAGAAGGCCCTTCACTGCTGCGGAGATGTCTGATCGGACTTTCTCAGAGCACCGCCGACAATCTCGGCGATTCTCCTGCGGAGCACGGTAACCCAATAGCACGGATGTGGATAGGATGTCGGCCCTCCCAGAGTTAGAATGCGGTCCTTATAGTGTTCCAGAAGCTTTCCCGCCGCCTTGTCGTCTATTCGGAACGAGGCGTAGCGCTCTTTGTGCTCGGTCCTTGGGCTGGCAGATTCTACTCGCGATACGACATGCCAACCAACGACGAGAGCCACAGAACACAGGGGCTCCAAACTAAAGCCCTCTTCGCATGATGCCGAGTGGCTCTAAAGAGAGGTGGATTTCGTAAAACTGGCACAGTGCGTCTGCTGTGACCTTGGCAGTGTCCTGCAGCACTTGGACGGTGAGCTGCATCAGCTCGGGGTGGTAGTGCTCCAAAACGCAGAAGCACCAGCACAAATCCACGAGATCCTCGCATCGGAAGCCCGAGTTGCTCTTGGACCAGCGCCCCACCACGTCGTCGCCCACGGCCTGGCAGAAGGCCTCGCTCTTGACCCCGCAGCGCGCCAGGGAGCGCGCGCAGCGCAGCACCTCCACGGGCCGGAGCTCGCGCACCCTTGGGGCCACGGCCGAGGCCGCCGAGGCAAAGAGCTCGGAGTGCACCAGGCGCACCTCGGACAAAATGGTGAGGAGCGAGGTGAGCTCCTTGGGGCCGAAGGTCTTGTGCCGCGCCTGGGCCGACTTGCCAACAGAGACGAAGAACTTGTGGTCCGAGCAGCCCAATGACACCAAGCCGGCTAAGCAGGTGTTCAACTCGTGAGGCGCAAGCTCCATCAGCCGAGTCGGAACCTCGGCAGTTGCCACCGCCAGAAAGTCCCGGCTTGAATCGATGAACCGCTGCCTGCCCTCTGGTGACCAATACAAAAACGCGCTCATGATGTGGGCGATCTGTGGACTTGTTGCTGACTTCAGCTTGTGCCCAAGCATGCTGCCCAACTCGGTGTAGAAGTCCCTTGGGTAGGAATGAGCCTTCGCTTCCATCAGGTGGAGAAGCTCTGCCAGCTGCTCTGCACTCATCTGTGCGAAGTTTCTGAGGAAGGCCTTGGCGGCTTCCTCGACCTCACTTCGAGCGCTTGCAGTCCTCACGGTCTCCTGCAAAGGCTCCCAGTCATCGTCTCCAAGCCCAGAATGCGGTCCCAACTTTGACAGGGGTGTCGCCTGAACGAAAGGAAGTTGACCACCAAAATTGGGTGCAGGGCCTGTGGCTGACAGGGCCTGCTTCGCTCCCTGCACGTTTCCCTGCAGCCGGGCGAGCATCTTCTGGACGGAGTCGTTGTCTCGTTGTGCTGGCGCAGGTGAGGCTGCCTGCAAAGTGAAACCGGAGAAGCCCATTGACTTCTTCGGCTGCGCGGGGGGTGGTCGAACTTCGACCACCGGAATGGGCGGCGCGTGTGCCGTGGGCACGACCGGCGCGACGGACCCGGCTTGTGCAGCAGCAAGCCGCTTCAAGGCTTCAAGATCGTAGGCTGGTGGGGCCGGACCTTGGCCAGGCGGTGGTGGTGGTGGCGGTGGTGCACCCGGCCCAACGGCCGATGGCAGAGGAGCTGTGCCAAGTGGCTGGGCTGGTGCCGGAATGACCTGGGGCTGAGGCAGCACCACCTGGGCTGCTGCTTGCGCAGCCTGTGCGGCTTGTGCAGCCTGTGCCGCTTGAGCTGCCTGCGCGGCCTGCGCTTGTGCTTGCGCCTGGGCGGCTTGAGCAGCTTGCGCAGCAGCGGCCTGCTGCGCTGCTTGCGCGCTCTTTGCGGCTTGCGCTGCCTTGGCAGCTTGTGCTGCCTGCGCTGCTTGCGCTGCTTGCGCTTCTTGCTGGGCCTGGACTTGCGCGGCGGCCGCCTGCACAGCTGCTGCCTGCGTGCAAAACTGAATGTCTGCCTATGTACGACTTGCTATCTGCGCAAAGTGAGGTTGCAAGACACGTCTGGGCATCCGCAAATGAGCATTGAAAAACAACATATGTAAAGCATTTACCTCCACCTCGTGTTTTGCACAACGACTTGCCCCCAAAGACCTATTCTAATTATCAAGGCCCCTATGTTAATGTCGCCCCCCGGCCTCGGCCGCCAGTTTCTCCTGTACTTCTCTCTCTGCTGCATCTTTCTCCTCCTGCTCCGCATTCTTCGCGGCCTGGTGGGGAGATGCTGAGGTGTATACTATACATACTATTTTTATCAAACTTTAGGTCATGTTATGAAATGCAATAGATGATGTGCTTTATCCTATAGGGCATTCTAGTATGTTGTCTTATACTATGCTAGATCATAATGCATTATATTGCGGCATATGTTGGTGTATTTTAGTATATGACCGTATATTATCTTATATCATAGGATAGGATATGAATTGAAATAATACTATAATATTGCAACATATTGAACTACAGATGGATAGATAAATAGATAGGTAGATACAGAGGTTAGGAGCGGCCAGCATTCCACATCGCTTGCTCGAAACATGCCCCTGCTCCAAGCCCGTCCCCTAGAGAAGGCTGCACACAATCTGAATATTCCTTGGGACATCTCCGTCTCCCTGCCTGCTCTGCCAGCTTCTTCAAGGCATCCTTGTCAAATGCCGCTGCTTTGGGCGGAGCTTCCTGGCCGGTGGGTCCCTTTCGGATTCTGGCACGCCCTGGTGACTTTGAATGCGAACCGTCCAGCATCTGTCCACTCAAGTCGTCCGCTATATGCCACTTGACACCACAAAGGCCTGCACAACTGCACCGGACTGCGTCTCATCCACACCTCGAGACAACACGAGTGCTCTTGCTTGCACTTCCAAGAAGTCTCCCGATGTGGAACATGCACCGATCCTAACCGTTTTGCTGCACCCGCGGCAGCCATGAGAGCCGCTATGCCCCGCCTCCTTTGGCAGCGACTGTGCCGTACTGCGACCACCACCGCGCATAGTACCTGCAACAGTCTGCTTGATAGCTCGAAATCTTTAACGAAAGCTGCGCCTTTCAACTTGTCTTGGCTGTTCCCGTCCCAGCCACCAACCGACCCCAACGCACACACGCACTAAATCGTAGTCCGCAAATCCTGCCACGTCTCCGCGCACTCGTTCAGGTCGGTCCCCTGCAATGCAGCGGCCTGAGCATTGCAAACGTGCGATTCTTGTCATTCGCCTATGGGCCTAGACGTCTTAAATTGGTGCTGCATCTCTTCTCTCTCAGTCGCAATCGTTCTGCCCACACTTGTTATCGAACTCGCTTTGCGAAGTTCCTCTTCAACTGAGGTCAGCTCGTGCGCAGCTGCGCTCGTGTCTAACCCAGCCTGGGCCAAGGCGGCAGGGAGCAAAAAAGGCTCGGGTTGTGGGCTTTGAGGAACTGCTGCATGCTCGCTGTCCTTTTCTTGAATTTCCTAGTGCCTGAGAGCCCGGCTAGCCCCGGCAACGGCGGCGGGGCTCCCGCCAGAGATGCCAAGCCCTTCGGATGTCAGAGTTGCGCCAATGAAGATTCGATAAGAGGTGATCCCGACAGCAGTTAAGTGCACGGGACCGGACCAGAGGGCTCCGGGAACTTCGGCTGTGCGATTCCACTCCACTGCGAAATATCTTCTCTGCCGAAAGCTGCAGCCATGTTACGACGACAGAAGTGTGTGCATCATGTCATGTCTTCGCTCGGGTGTTCTGATTTGCAAAACATGAATCAGGCAAGCACTGCAAGCAAGTGATCGATTTGATGACGTAGCAACTTAACTGATGCGTCCTTGAGAAGCTGAGAGCTCTACTATGATCGCTACAGTCGCACTTCGGTTCCTGTAAAGGGGGCAGGTAGCTTAAACCACCGAACGCAGGCTCAGGGCGCACCCCCAAGCCGGGCGGAGGCGTCCCCGCAGGCAGGCCTGAAGATTGGATGGCCCGGGCATTAACGATTCAGCGGAGATCTCGGGAATTCGGGACTTCGTGCTTCTGGCCCCGGCATCAACCACAGGTCGCTAGCCGCTAGACGCAAAACAGGCGAAGTTGCAGACCCGACACAGAAAACGCACGAAGCAGAAACACGCGGAAAGACTTAAGGTCATGTCGGGGCCTTCATAATTAAATAGAGTTTTGGGGCCCAGTATATTATAAATATAGTAAGGAACCCTAAGGAATAATAGTGGTGATTCAATTAGGCGTCTACATTGAAGCCCAAGCGTCTGAGTCCGGCCGCCAAGCCAGCGGGCGTTACCAGGCCCTGAGGTGGCGAGAGACTTGACATCGGTAACACTTTGCTGCTTCACTTCTTGCAGTTGGAGCGGTTAAAGTAAGTAACAAGCAACCGTAGCAGTAGAAGCAGTAACAGTGTAGTAGTAGTAGTAGTAGTAGTAGTAGTAGTAGTAGTAGTAGTAGTAGTAGTAGTCCTCCCCTTCCTCCAACTATTACTACTGCAGCACTGTCATACGTTTTGTCATTGAGGCCCGGTTTTCAAAGATGCTCACGGCGTAGGCCCCTCTGCAAGGGCGCCCTCCTCTCGCTGTTTGCACATGTTCGCCCTCGGCCCTCTGGCCGGAGGCAAGGCAACTCCAGGCGGGCGGGCGGCTGCGGCTGTGGCGGCTGCAGCCTCAGCCAGGGCTTTTAGGCGCAGGCTTCTAAGCCATGGACATAAGGGTGCTCCTGTTGATTTTAGAGAGTAGCACGTAGACTGCAGAACGGTTCTTGCCTCGGTTCGCGCATTCTGCAAGGTGCAGCATGCAGATCTACTACTGACATAAACCGGGTCCAAAACTGAGTGGTTCCCGCTTCCTAGTATTAGGGACGAGCCGTTTGCGCTTCAAGGCCAGAGGTCTGGAACACCAACCCAAGCTGAAAATGAAAACTCTGAACCATCAAGTCTAAACATCGTAACACGTAACTTGCAACCTCAACCTTGTCCTAAATCAACACATCCCAATACCCGAAAGATTGAACCTCAAACCCAAGCCCAAAAAACAACCCTTCCTCCCTCCTCAGAAGCCCAAACCTGCCACCGATCTAAGTCTAATCCCTAAACCCTATACCCTAAACCCTGACAGTTCCTAAAGTCCTAAAGCAGAAGGACGCCAGGCGGCTGCAGCTCCACCAGCGAGGCCTGGGATTGCCGCCGCAGCCTCCGAGGTCGGAGACTTATATCTATTTTTGCATATCACATAGACATATGCATATATATATATATATATACATATATATATATATATATACATTGACAGAGTTATATATATACATATATATATATATATATGTTTGTATGTATATATATATGCATTTATGTGCACAACTTCCTCTTTTGTTTAGTGTGATTTTATCGAAAGTTTCATGTCTGAGCGGGGCTGACAGCTTTAAAGGTTTCAGGATTGCTGGTTCAGGCGTTAGGGGCTTGGAGTTAGGGGTTTGCGGTTCAAGGATTTGGGATTTAGCGATTTAGGGTTTCGAGGTTTGGGCGTGTGGGGCTTTCGTAAAGGCTTGGGCTTTCGTAGAGGCTTGGGCTTGAGAAGTTCAGCTGCCGTCAGGGTTGAAAAGCAGATTTGCTGAGGACTAGACTCAGGGGTCCGGACGGGAAGTAGACCTTCAAGGAACGTGTCACGGAAACCTTAAAGGAACCAAAGAGTCTCGGGAGTGGCTGCTGTAGTGCTTCAGAGCTGGGGGGCTCAGGTCTTTGGGCCAGGGCCTTGGAAATTAGAATAGGGTACTGGCATCTATATCTATATATATATATATATATATATAGCATTCCTAACCTCTAAACCCCAAACCCTAAACCCCAAATTCTGCCCATTAAGAACTCTTTGAACCCGAAACTCTCACCTCCGTCCGGACCCGCTTTTCTTGCCTTTGGTTAGTAGGGAATGGAAGAATGGTAGTAATAGTAGTTATAATTATACCCCATTCCTCCATTCCCTACTAACCAAAGGTAAGCTTTCTTATGCCCGCTCCGCCTGGGCTTCCGCCTGAGCGGTCTGCGCCGCAAGCTGGATCAGAACCTGGGGGCCTCGGTAAAGCATAGAAAGTGGGTGGCGTTAGGGTTTTTTTTTAAGATGCAATAGGGTTTAGGGTTTAGGGTGTAGGGTTTAGGGTTTAAGGGGGTTTAGGGTGTAGGGTTTAGGGTTTAAGGGTCTTTAGGGCGTAGGGTTTAGGGCTTACAGGCTTATGGGGGTTCAGTTTCAGGGCTTAGGGCGGAAGGTTTCGGGTTTAGGTTTGTTCTTGAACCCGTTTTCTCTCGGGCTTAGGGTTTGGTTTACGGTTTAGGGCTAGAGTCCCTCTGTCGTATGAACTCTCGGAGGGTTTTAATAGTGGATCGATCTCCCTCTCTTGGGGGTCTCTTTAACGACTGTTAACCAAGACTTGTACAAGGGTCTGCACAGTTAGCAATAGAACTTTCCCCAAAACCCTGATCGAACTGTTAGCAGCTCACAGCTGTGACTACTTCGGGGAGTGCTGCTAGAATCTCAGTGCACCCGTGCTTCTGAGGATATGTAGTTCCTCGAGTCTTGGGGATCGTCGCATGCGGACTGCATGGTCAGAAGGCCCCGCCCCCACAGGCAACTGCAGGCCCCCGGACTCAAGGAGCCATCGACAATGCCGCTTACTACCTGCCACAATGATTTCTGGCTTCTTGGCTTATGCGTGTTGCTGCGTTCGAGATCTGAGATGTGTCAGCGATTGCCACGCTGTCGAACTCAGTCTCGCGCCCACGATGGCAACATCTAGTGGTCCCTTCTGCCGGGACAGCACAACGGAACTCAAGGAAGGCCGGCCGATTGCTTCGAAAGACGTGAAAGCAAATCTGCTGCGACTCGGCACCGGGGGTGTTGTTCCTCTTATCATGCGATGCTGTACAGCCCCCTTGTGCCGACCTTCTTGCAAACGTCAACCTCTTGCACGGAGCCGATGATGGTGACCTGCTGCGCAAGACGCAGAACCAGACCCTGCATGCTTGTATATACGACGGTATAGAGTATAGCATACACTAGGGCATACATGTTTGTAATAATATATTGTGGCATATACTATAGCAGCACATGTTATGGTATACGCTACAGTATATACTTTAGCATATACTACAGAATATATATGTATATGTACATATATATATATACATATTATAGTTCATTACAGTACAAAGTGTTTCGGGCCATTTCGGGCCCCAAACTCTTCCAGGAGAGCAAAGCAACATTCCAAGTCCCGCGAAGGCCTTCGCCTTGTCTTCCGTGGGCGTGTGCTGCTCCACGAAACAGTGAGCCCTCAGAGATACGGCCCATACTAAAACATACATACAAAAATCATGGTAATAAAAATCGGGGTCATGAACGTAAAACCCATAATAATATGCTTGAACAAACAGCAACAATAACAGTAGTAATAGCACCAATATCAATAACACAAACAACAACAGTATTTATAACAATGATAAGTACACTAGCAATAGCAATAACAATGAGGATGAAGGTAATGATAAGTATAACAATACTAATAGCAGCAAGAAAATTAACAGTATTGCATACAGCAACACAGACAAAAGTACTTCAAAAGAGGCTTTTCTCAAGTCTCAGGGCCGAACTTTGCATACGTCTTGATGGCATTGATGGTGGACGCTTGCTTCCCAATCAGAACACCGACCTGTGCAGTGGGGAGAGAGTGCAGAAGAGCAGGAATCTCTCGGGGCAAAGAGGACATCTGTGGCTGGGCCATCTGCCGAAGTCTGCGGGATTTCCATCGTCTCCTGCGCAGGTCCGATGATTATCATAACTACTACGCAAGGCAACAGACGCGAAATCGAAGTTGAGAGCAAGATCCCGGACACGAGTCGAAGCTGGCAATTTCCGGTTCAATTTGTCTGCCCTTGCCTCGAGATTTGAAGCCATAAGCTCTGGAGTAGTGGTTGAAGGATATCGCACTAGACCCCTTAAAACGTTAAACCAATACCGTGCGATGATGCTCTGGTGTCCGTGATCTTGTTGGCTGCCGCACCAGCAGCAGCTGCTGCTGCAATTGCGGCGGCGACCTAGGCAAAAAGATCTACAGTGGAGTTTGGCCACATATCTAGGGGTTGAAAGTACGGATCACGGTGCAGCACTTGGATTTTCGGATGGTTCCAAGGTTTGGGGTTTTCCGATTATGATGCTATTGTCGCTCAGTAGCGGCCCCGAGATGTCCCACGAATCCGCAGCCAATCGAAACGCCAACCCGCCTAACTGGGGTCCATACTGACGAGGCTGGCGGAGTGGCACCGGCAACTGGACTTGTCAAGCTGGCACCTGGCATGTGGAAGTACGTTGCAGCAAGGGCATTCTTAATGCACAGATCACTACCATGTGTTGTGTAGTGTGCCTACTCTCGCCGGCTGCTACTTCTCGTACACATGTTCCCAATGCCCCCATATGCCGCTACACCTTAGTACACCCTTACTTGCTCGTAGTAGCGCATTAATAACTGTTAATGTCATCTTGTTGAACTCGGTACAGGGCTCACAGGTGCTCAGCCCAGCACCCTGATTGCGGTCAACATGCGTTGCCTAGGACTCTCGCTGTGATGACCATGGCACTCGAACGCCTGGAAAACCTAATTATTGTCTCATCCGTATGACTTTCGCGTGACACCATCCTACCCCGAATCGGCAAGGATTCCACACGTGCCTCTGTTGGTAGGTTTTTGCGCGCATTTAACACAGCATAACCTGTTGAAGACCTCTTGCCTGCGAGTTACTCACTCTTCGGCGTGTCGGCTGGCTTGCGACGTATGAAAGGCCATATATGTATACGTACATGTACATGTATATGTACATGTGTGTATGTATGTATGTATGTATGTATGTATGTATGTATGTAAGTATGTGTTTATGTATTTATGTATGTATGTATGTATGTATATACGTATACATATACATGTATACAAGCATATACATATACATATTCATATACATGTAGAGTATTATGTGCATAAAAAAAGAGAGAGATACGTAGATAGGTAGATATTCAGATTCAGCGTAGTGCGGATCTGCTTCTACGGCAAGTTTGGATGTAGTCGGATTTCCGCACGAGCCTGCCAGCAAGTTCGGTGGTGAGGTCGGAAGACCAACCTGGATGAGCCGAACTAAAGGGAAATAACCACGGAGAGAGACGGCTTAGGATTTAGGATTCGGGAAATTGTAGCGTTTTGCGTTCTGCGCAGATTGGTATCCACCTAAGCCCTGTCACGGAGACTATGATGCGCAGAATGTCGATAACCCGTCTCCGAGGCCACCACTCCTGGAGCTGTGGGAGCGAAGCCAGGCCTGAGGAAAGCAGAGCAAATGCACTGTCCGGGACATCTTCTTCATCGACACTACCAATCAACATCATCCACAAACAGCAGTGTCAGCAGCCTGATCATCATCTTCAGCCGCAGTAGCAGCAAGATGGCCAGTATTCATGCCCTAGCCTTGACAGTCGAACTCAGGCAGAGTAGAGCACAGGCCGACCAAAAGCTGCTGGTGGACAGCCGATTTGGAAAAAGGCAGAAAGTGTGGTGTCGCTGGCAGGCAAGAGCGATTCAAACTTGATGATACTGCCGTCAAACGGAACAAGACCTAGGCAGACAAGCAGACACCAGTGGCGGCTTCGAAAGACCACACATGAGCATCCAGAATGCCCGTACATCCATAGGTATGCGTATCATACTACAACACAGTACTTTCTGGGTCAATTCCTCAGCTCCCGGCGGAAGAAGTCCCGGAAGCGCTGCTGGCACGGTGGCAGCACCTCAAAGATTCTCCCACTCTGTGGAAGGCCATAAACGATGTTGTCAAGTGCTTATGCCGGCCATAGTCACCATGATGCTTGTTGCGATATCTATACTCAAAGCCCGCACCTGCAGCATCCGCAGCTGGTCGAAGTGGCGCGATGCCAGGTTGCGGCAATGCAGCAATTCCTGCGAAGTGTATATCAAGAAGTACTACGCTAGTTTTACGGATGCTGCTCGGACTCTTTCCGCTATAGCTTTCGTCAGTATTCAATTTTGCCACGACCATTGAAATCACCTGTGCCGTTGCCACTACCACTACCCAGCTGGCTAGTGCTTCGACTTCTACTTTGACCAATATGTTCAGTGCAGAACTCTTGCTATTCCTGTAACTATCACCCATGTTGTAACCTTTGCCGCGCCGTTCATTGCTACCACTGCTTCTTGCCACTCCTCATCCTGCTTCTGCGCGAATGCTCGTACCAGTACTGGCAGCAGCAGCAGCAGCAGGAGTAGCTAGAGGTAGCTGGTAGTACTAGTGGTAGCAGCAAAAGTAGCCATGGCGGGTGGCAGTAACAGTTATAGCCTCAAAAATTAGCAGTAGCCGTAGTCGTCGTCATAGGACTTTGCTGGATTTGGGAGCCCCGTGCCCCACAGATAGCCATGAGTGCTGGAAATTCAACTATACTGAACTTAGAACCGTAGCAAAAATTTTAATGTTAGCTGTTTCTTACGGATTATAATAACCAAAAATTGAATTATATTTCTAAGTAGCCCTAAGGAAATTCAATATGAGGCCCCGGCCGCCGGGAGGTGGAGGTGCTGTTGGCCTCCAAACGGGACAGGGGTGTACCAGCTGATGCAGTATTGAACTCTCGCAGTCATTTCTGTGGGACGGCGATCTTACTCGCGCCGTCTCCCTTGTGCTCCATGATCTGCATGCTCAAGGTTTTTTTTCCCAAAAATAGATGGGAGACAGACAGACAGAGAGAGAGAGAGATGCGCATGTGCATGTAGTACATTATGTGTATGCATCTTGCAGATGATATGTATATATATATATATGTACGCACATACAAAAGTTGTCCGCGTTTTGTCCTACCTACTCACATTCACCGATAGAGACTCAACAGTGTAGTGCCAAAAACCCTGTAGGGCGTGCGTTGGAAAAAAAAGGCCAGCACCGGCTGAAGGTTCAGGGTTCAGGGTTTAGGGCTCACGTTTAGGGTGCACGTTTGGGGTTCAGGGGTCTAGATTTCACGTTCGGCGTTCACCGTTGGGGTTCGAGGTTCACGGTGTGTATGGTCCAGGGACCAGGATTCACGGTTTAGGGTTCACGGTTTTTTTGTCAGGGTTCACGGTTTAGGGTTTAAACATTCGGGTATGGGTATCTATAAACCTTCCACGGGGTGTAAGAAGGGCTTTATAAAGGCTCATGTGGGCCGCCTCGCTGCCAGAATGCTCGGCACAGCAGCCCCTGCCTGGGGAAAGCAGTTTAGGGTTTCATGTTTATAATATAGTCTTATAGTAAAAAAATCACAAAAAATATAAGCCTAAGGGATTGTTGCGGTTTATAGTTTGTGGTGGTGAAAGTTAACATTTTCCCGTCATAGACTGCGCTGCCACCGTCCTTTTCGCAATTGCGGATAACAGCTCTTGATATGCGAGATTCTTGCTGTGCGCGGTGTTCTTAGCATCCGCTCGCACTACTGCTGCTTTTTCTGTTTCCTTGCACATGGCACTTGACTATTCAACCATTCCCCGTTAGGTCCCATTTTACACGGAGTTTTTGAACTCTTGCTACCGGAAGCCTTCACAAGGCTTTTCGGGACAATCGCACTTTTGCCGCAAAGGAGCAGGTGGAGCTGCCTGCGGCTGTGCAGGTCGCACCAATGGCCTGCATCGTGAGGGCTTTAGCTTCAAGATCTTTCGGCTCCCAGACGTACTCTAGCCCCTTAAACGAACCATCAAAGCCACGCACAGAAGTTTCCCCAATTGCTTCCATGATCTAAGGCAGAAGGATCTTGGTGCACTCCCGGAGCTTATTCTTCTCCGCCTCGTTTTTCAGAGTTCGAAAAACATGCTTCGGGATCTCTGTTGTTATGCCTGTGGGATTCAAAATGCTGTTGGTTTCCAATCTGGAAGTTTTGGGGCCTCCCGAATCACACATTTCGCCACAAAACCTAGCTCTCAAACACCCCAAACCCAAAACTCCGAATCAAACAAAAACTGTGACAAGGGCCAGAAAGCCCAGAACCTGTCGCTCTCCCCTCTGGGGGACCGCACCCCAGAGCTCCGGCATTAGGCGGGACCACACCCTGAAGCTGGACAGAATCGGAGGATTTGGGTTGTGGCTCTGGGTGTCAGGAGTAGGGTTTCGGCTCGGAGGTTTCATTCTGGGACATAGGGCTCGGGGCTTCGGTTTAGGAGGTCACAAACGGGCTCTCCACTGTTTAGAGTTTAGACGCTGGCTGGCTGTTCCACAAGGACATCTCAGAAACGCATTCTGCACCTCCCCTCCGAAAACTCCACGTGCACTCGGCAAGCCCGGTTTGTGAATTTGGTGTCAGGTGAGGGGGTAATTTACATGAGGATCTTCAGGGAGATTCACAGCCACATTCTCTCAAAATGTGTGTGTATATATATATATATGTATCGTGCATGTATACATAAATACACACACATGCATACTGATGGTTATAATATAGAACATATATATATATATATATATATATATATATATGTATATACACATTACTCCATATATATATATATATATGTGTGTGTACACACAGATAGACGGATACACACACACACACTCTCTCTCTCTCTCTCTCTCTCTCTCTCTCTCTCTCCCGGGCATGAGGGCGGTCAACGCCCTCGGGCCAATGGCCCCCCCGCTGTCTTAACGGGTGTGAGGGGTGAAGAACGAGTCATGAACACAGTTTCGGCTACTCTCTCTCTCTCTCTCTCTCTCTCTCTCTCTCTCTCTCTCTCTGTGCGCATTACGGTATCGCTTCTGCTGCTTTAGGATCTGTAGGCATAGTATGGCTGCTCCTATGCCTTTTACTCTTCCACATTGACATGCTGTCCACGGTCCAAGGCCTGCGGGGGAGGGCCTAGCCGTGGCGCCTCACGCAGTTGGTCCGAGGTGAGCGGTGATGGTTGGGACCGGCAAGACTAACAACAGTGACAACAACCACGATGCCGACGACGACGGCGGCGGCTACATAGAACTTGCACTCGACAGTTTTGGTGCAAGCTACAAAACATTACAAAACGATGGTCATGCTATTTTATCACCAGCATCACCGTCATCACCTCCACTACCACCATCCATATGACAACAACAACAACACCTAGCAAGGACGGTGACACTGCAAGGAACCTCTGCAAGGAACCTCGGTCTCTCTGGCTGAGCATTTCCTCGCATAGTGCCACCATCGGTGTGGCATACCAACAGTTTCTTGCCGGCTTTTTGCCGGGCTCTTGCGTTGCTCACACCGGGGCATCAACTTGCAAGCGGCACTTGACCCATGGATTGCTTTGTATGTAAAGCTTTGCCTGCTTCTTCCGCACTGAATGAAGTGAAACACCGAATTCTATCAGGATGATGAATTCCGGCTGTGAGAGTTTACTAGCCCTCATAAGGATGATACCCATAGCACCGGGAACGCATCGAGAGTATACTGTTATGCAGGCCCAAGTCAGGTTAGGACAATGAAGCCCCTTCTACCTAAAGCCCAGGCCCTCGACTCTCACTCCCTAAAGCCAAAACTACCGCCATCTACCGCCTAAGCTCGAAACCCTGATATCCAACATCAAATATAATCCCGTACTCCTCTACCTAAAAACCTAAACCCTCAACCGCGATCGCATCATTCCCACCTTGTTGGGCTCCCACTGTGGTGGCGGGGGTCTGGGGCGCTGGAACTGCTGCACTGGGACAGCGGGCGCGGCCTGAAAACGCTTAAGGGTTGAGGCTTTAGGGTTGAGGGTTTAGGGTTGAGGGTTTGGGGTTGAGGGTTGGGGTCTACAGGTTTTATGTTGTTTCACTTTTTGTCGAGCACATTTGCCGTCCGCCTGAAATCTCAAGCAACTGAATCTGCATTGCGGAAAGCCGAACACCCTTCGACCCCTTCACTTCTTGACAGCATTGCCTGATGACAGGCAGGAACCAATAATCGCGATGTGGTTTGGTTCATCCGGCACACACAACCTTTTCCGGCGCAAACACGAACTCTTTGGGTGTCGTACCGTGCGTGCTAATCCAGTACGGCGTAGAGTCGCAAAGTTTTGTATAACAGACCCAGAGAGCCCAATACCCCTTAATTAAGGAATATGGCTTAAATTATATAGGGCTTCATATTATGATTTAAGCAATATTCCTTAATTAAGGGGTATTGGGCTCTCTGGGGAGTCCGGGATTCGTGTCACATGCATTGTCCGCACAGCGAGGTATGGTTTAGACCGCTGAACACATTTGGGAAGTTTCCAAAAAATACGGGACCCTAATAGAGCCTAAATAGTAGGATCCTTATTATAAGGACCCCAACATGGGGTACCGCTAATTATCGGAAACTCCCATTTACATTAGCACAATGCAACACAGCAACCCTGGAAGGCCACATGCCCCGAAAGCCCGTGAGTTCTTCAGAATGACTCATCCCCCGCTTTGCGATCCTAGCACATCACACTTCGCAACCGTTACACCTTTTTGTGATCCTTATTGAACCCGTATGGTCACCATGATAGTAACTATAGTTCCCTTATAACGACCCTTATGCGAACTCGCCCTGGCAAGCCTGCTGCCCTTGGTTGAAGTTCCCGGTTTTCAGCTGTCTGAGCGCAGCAGCAACCTGGGAAGGGAGGGGTGTCGAGGTCCGTTTCGAGCCGTCGTTTTTGCAATTTGGGTTTGATTGAGGCGCTCGGATAGGAACGAGCAGGAAAAAACGATCCTCTTGCTTTCCCTGACTGTGAAGTCACAGAGGTAGCAACCCGCCACTTCAAAGCCTCGTATCTCATGAGAAGTCCCACTTTGCTGAGTCATGAACGTCGGCATCCACTTCCCCCATGCTTCCCAGGCTGGAAGACCTCCCTCCAAGGCGCAGCGGATTCCGGCCCTAGACTCCGTGTCTTGGAAAGGCTTGATGTCCTCCCTTGTGACCTGCCTGTCTGTCGTTTAGATGACCTGTGCTGGGTGGTCATACTGGTCCTGTAAGTCCCGTCAACCAGCTTCTGCTTAGCTGCTTGCCCCGTTGACCGCTGCTGTTTCCCTGTAGGCTTCGCAGACTTTTTTCCGTGAACTCCCGGGGAGGCGCCGGACCTGGCCTGAGCCCGACAAGCAGCTAGCGGATAGCGTGCAAGGAATGGACAGCAGCCCTTTTTGGGCCTTGAGGGCTTCGCCTTGCAAACTGCCGTTTTGGGGACATGCCCTCACCCTGCCCCAACACTTTCAGCCGGCTGCAGGGAGGCCGACTGGCAACCATGGTTGACCATGGACTTCAGGATGTTGATGGTCGCAACGATGTTGTTCTCGTAGTACCTGGCTATCGCCTAGTCGTCTTATCCTCACAAGGGGTCGTGGGAACGTTCATCTGCACGCCCTCAGAGCAGCATCATCCTGGCTCTTGGTATGCCCTAACGGCGCACAGCATTGGCTTTGCGACGGACTCGCCGACGGCCTCTCCGCAACAAGAATTCAGCATCCAGGTTGCAGTCGTATCGGGATCCAGGCGCTTGCATGCTGCATGTCGCAACGATGTCAGATCTACGACACTCCACGTCTCTACGCTGGGACGCTCTTCCCATGAGCGCCTATCTCACACATCTCCACACAGCACTCTTTTGCTGTTGCATGGCGGTGGTCTGATCGATCTACCTGGGTATGTGCCAGAATAGTGTCTCCGCTTTCATTCTGCAGCGCCTGGATTCTGGCGCAGACCCCGAAGGTGCAGATAAATTGCCGCGTACGCGTGCAAAATGGACATGAGCCGTTTCAGAAAAACTACTGGCTGCCATGTACAACTTGACACTAGGAGTCGGTGAGCAGTTGTGCATCTAGCAGGTCCCTGCACCCTACGCTAGAAGCTGTGCGCTCACAGCAACGCCGACTACAAAGACATCCAATTCACCGATGCCCTGAACATTCACCAAAGGCAGCGCTGAGCAACGCGCAGGTGGGCAGCGAGGCAGAAAAACTAAAGCAGCAAAGCAGAGATATAAGTTTGCCCTGAGCTGCAACCCGTGATGTAGATCTTCGACCTTCGAGGCAAATGGGGGTGGAGCATCCCGTCAATGCATCAGGATCTGTCACTTCATTGCTCAGGGGCAGACCAGGAGGTGTTCGCACAAGCCGAAGTTAGCATCCGGACATGCTACCTCCCTCTTGAAGCTTTCATCCTGAACAGACCTGGACCTTCTAGATCTGAATTTTTCTGTCCTTCTTCGTCTCTGTATGGCTCAAGGGGTATCTGTCTGCCCCTCCGTCCCTGCCTGGTACATACACAGACTCTCCCCCCGTACATGGCGATGGTTAAAAGATCGTCATTCTCATGTCTACTGCATCGGCTACGCAGATATGGAGTGACTCCATAGATGGAAGAACGGCCGATGTGTCAGCGGAGGCGGCTCCCAAAGAGACGCGGAGGATTGAAAATCTGGGCAAAGGCGCGCAAATCATCATAAGTGCTGAAGCACTAAACCCCTTCAGCAGCCAAGGCCGATGATGATGGCGATTTGCACGACATTGCCGTGTGTTCTCTGTACAATGTCAGGAGCTGTGCACGGCATTAAGCAAGCTTACGACAAGGTGAGAAGGAATTCTGCTGCACTGTTCCTCACATGTCTTTCGTTGGTCAAGCTAGGAGGCAGTCATTGGGGTTTAGGGATCAGCATCGGTAAGGGCGACTGGAAGACATCAGGGAAGTGCAATGCCTCCATTGTGCTGCTGCACGAACTTGCCAACACGTGTGGTCAGCAAGCCCCGCTAAATCAATCTGTGTCTCGACCTCGTGAAACTTGAAAAGCAGGGCCGACGTCTGAAAATAGATTAGATGAATGTACACGTAAACTGTGCCGTTTTCCTTGAAGTCGTTTTGCCGGGCGAGGCAGAAGATAGGCTGTATAACCATGAAGAGGAGGGAAGGAAGCAAAGGAAGCAGTTGGTCTAAGTTCTGGACGCACAACAGATACACAGCGTATAATACTACTTGTCACCAGCTCATGCTATTTGCCATGAGGGTCCATACAAGACAGAGCAAGTCCTCACAGGTTTGCAACACCCTCCTCTACTTCTCTGAGAGTCCCTTCAGGCCATCTCGACAACCTTGGAGAGGCACCTGCACGGATTACTGCATCGCAATGCCTCGTTAATCAACTTATTAAATTAACCATACTCCTAATTAAAGTATGATGTAGTTCAATTAACTATACTCATAATTAAAATATTTTTGCTACTGACCCGTCACATGAAGGAAAGTGCACTGCCGAGCTTGGAGCCTCTTGGAGGTTCTGCATCTGCAAGGTTCACCTGGGTGGTCAGCTTGTACCCCCAAAAAGAGCCTTCTCCACCAGACTACTACATATGTTATGTGTATATCTATCTATATATATATATATGTATATATATATGTATATATGTACATGATGCATGCTATTCATTTAGTTGTTTATATACTGCCTGCATGCTTCGACATGCAAAATCTTTATATATTTGTAATATATATATATATATATATATATATATATGCTTACGCCCCCCCCCCATGATCCATACTATGCTTGCTTTTGGTAAGCAGTGGATCATGGGAGGTGGGCAGCTTCGGATGCTAAAACACTGCCAGGCTCGAAAATCCCCAAAATTCCTGAAGCCTGAAGTGCGAAAACACTGGCAGGGATCAAAAATCCCCAAAATCCCCAAAATGTGAGAGACTATGGCCCCGCACTCCGCATAGTTGCCAGGATTTTGGGAATTTTGGGGATTTTTGATCCCTGCCAGTGTTTTCGCATTTCAGGCTTTACAAATTTTGGGGATTTTCGAGCCTGGCGGCATTTCGTCAACGTCGGATGCTAAAACACTGCCAGGCTCGAAAATCCCCAAAATTCCTGAAGCCTGAAGTGCGAAAACACTGGCAGGGATCAAAAATCCCCAAAATCCCCAAAATGTGAGAGACTATGGCCCCGCACTCCGCATAGTTGCCAGGATTTTGGGAATTTTGGGGATTTTTGATCCCTGCCAGTGTTTTCGCATTTCAGGCTTTACAAATTTTGGGGATTTTCGAGCCTGGCGGCATTTCGTCAACGTCGGATGCTAAAACATTGCCAGGCTCGAAAATCCCCAAAGTTTTGCAAAACTAAACACCCATGGCCCCATAGATGCCACGATTTTGGGAATTTTGGGGATTTTTGATCCCTGCCGATGTTTTCGAATTTCAGGCTTTACAAATTTTGGGGATTTTCGAGCCAGGCGGCATTTGCTAACCTTGGATGCTGTGTTCCTATTATGTCTTTGTTTGTCACGTGTATACACAAGGCATATGCTTTGTTTTAATGCCATGTCAAGGTGCGGTATGTTCCACGACATATCGTTGCAGTTCTCTCCCGAGTGAAAGTCATCGTTTGTGTCCTTCTTTTCCTCTTTTCCAGCATGATCCGCGACGGGGGTGACATATCCTTGCAAGATGCTCTCGATGCCACCAATTCTTTGAGACATTGTATCAAAGCACACCACACCCGACGACAATCTGTAAAGTAAAACATTTGCAGTAGATATACAACATATACTTTGACATGCCATGTACTGAGGACGCATGCACCAGACGCGCGGCACATGAGTTACGTGATAGTTTTGTGGAAGTATCGATATTAGGATGAGTACTGTTCTTAATAATATTGGTACTAGTGTTTGCTGTGATAGTATACATGTCAGTATTAGTAAACATAAATTAGTGTCAGTGCTCATGCTCGTTTTAGAGTTAGCGCTAGTGCCAGTGTCAATGTCAGTAATACAGCACCACTGCTAGTATCAGTGTCAGTCTTAATGTTGGGTTTAACCGCAGCTTATATTCGCAGAAGTGCTAGTATTAGTATCAATACTAGAACTAGTTTTGATATGTTAGAATATTGACAGTTTCGTACAGTAGCAGACTAGTATATCAATATATTATTAATGCATTCGAACAGTAACATATTTGTATACTTGTATACTTGTATATTTGATATGTTAGCACAACTGGTGCACGGGTACACTAGTATATTGGTGTATTAGTTTACAAGTATGTGTGCTATATTCATGTATTGTCTAGTCATATTTACAAGTATATCAGTATGTTGGCATATTAGCCTACTAATTTGTCATGTCGGTATACTTGCATGTTGCAGTAGTCGTATATTAGTATACTCGCATATTAGTATAGTATATTCATACATTAACGGGAAGTATATTATTACATTGGTATATGGGTATATGTTTATGCCAAAACATTAGTACATGAATGCACTAGTGTATATATCTGTATCTTAAGATAGTGGTATGTATTTTTATGTACATTAGTATATGCAGGTGTCTATTAGTAAAAAGATTAGCATTCATATCAATACGAATATACTATTGGTATTCGTAGGAGTTTTAATGTTGATATTAGAATTAAGACTATTCATAGTCGTATTAGCCATAATATAAGTGTTCATGCTGGGAATAGTACTGGCATTCATGAATATTCAACAGATTATCAATATCCGTATCAGTGTTGGTGATAGCATTATTGTTAACACCACAAGAGTTTATGTAGTCGTACTCGTAGGAGTATCAATACTATTGCAAATATTGATGTTAGTATAAATATTGTGATAAGTATTAGTAGTAGTATTAGCGTTAGTACTATAATATTATGAACACACTTGAAGTATGTGTCACGCTTTCCAGGCAATCAGGCAATGACCAGGAAGATTCGAAGCTGCCAGTTTGAGTATTGGCATCGGCACCAAAACATGGCGACAGTGACAGGCAACATGTTGAAGTTTTTGCACAACCACCGGTGATGCCTTCTGAAACATGGAGTGCGAGGTTTTGGAT